AAACGCATCATTCACATATGAAAAATTGAATTCATCCTTTTTGAATTTCGTATATTGGAACATTTTTATTCACAGGATTCAACTGATGACTCTGATGAAACATTGGTGAATTCTAAATTATTTGTAAATGATTTGCAACAACTGCTACAGTTTAATAATTTATTCTACATTTGGTGACAGAACAAATTCAGTAAAATTCAAAAAGCAAAGACTGATCACAATGAAAAAAGGTATGGAAAATGTATTGAGAAGAAGAAGAATGATAATGAGAATATACACAGGAAAAGATTAAAAACTGAAAGCAGAGTTTAAAAAATTGCCGAGCAATTAATTTGTGAATTTTTTAGAAACTCTTATCAGTTGTCTAATTGTTACCTATTTCTATGAAGTGATTACTAATCCGCATGCACTACAGTGAATAACAAACGATACGAAGTTTTCCAAAACGATTTCTTGACATCATGTTCGAATCAATCGAAAATTCACTGAATGTTGAATGTAATTGATAGCTTCAGATGTTGAAGATGCACGCAAAATGGGTGTAATCAAATAGTAATGAGCAACGAATCGCTGCATTAATTGCTATTTTGTATCTCATTAACGAACACATTTCCATGTAACATCCATCTGTTGTTAAAAAAGATTGCAAGCCACCCTTCGAATACATACTTATTTTCATTTTCTGGATGTAACTTTGTGAAACGGAGCGTTTGCAAATGAAACCAATCGCGATATGAGTGAATCGTACAAGAATGCCGTTAACTGCTTGAATATGAATATTCTGTGACTGAACTGTTGCATCAGAGGATCACTACAAACGATTGATTAATCTTGAGTAAATTTGTTGTCTTTATTTCAACACCTTCAATGCACAACTTACGATATAAAGATAAACTTCGAAAAGTGTGAAACAAGACGCATTACGTTTCATCACAGTAATTGTAATTCCTCATTGTGCACTATTATTCAGCAGATGAACACTTCACTAAAAATTCATCCTCAAATGCAAATTATGCGATATAATGAAGATAAAATCGACAATATAATCGAACATGCACACAAATAATTGCATGATATGCATAAATCACGACTGATTTCCATTTGACAGTAGTCGATCACGATTTTGCTGTTGTATTTTTAACGTAGGGCCGAATTAGATTGAGCGCTTCACTCATTTCTCAAAACGACATAAAATTGAATGCTATATGAGAATTGATGATTGCAGAACAAACGAAAAAGACACTGAGTACGATAAATTAGCTCATAAGTAATCTGACTGACTGATAATCATTAGTTAATTATAATTGATCTCCTTTTTAGAATTCATTGCGAATATAAGTTGAATCCATCAAAACGACAAAAAACAGCAGTGAGGAAATAAATGAATACACAGTTAAGCACACAAGTGAATAAATAAGTACCTTTGTGTAATAAACGCAATTTATCATCGGTGATAGCGATTTGAACTGGTTCACTGTCAACATTTGAAGATTGCAAATTCAGTACGTGAACCTAAAATTTCATCGTTGAATTGATAAACGTAACCTGAATTAACCTTAGCTAAAAAGTGATTATGATCAACTATGATTAGCAACTCTCATTAGATCATTAACCGATCCGATCTTCCGCAATACGATGTGTTTACGGTACCCTTCTCCACTAATCAATCAATTCTGTCGCATGACCACACACGATGAATGTATCATTATTTTCACTCATCAGATAAGGTGCGTGAACAATAAAACGGAACAAAGACGCATCGTTAAAGTGAATACTGTACTGGCAGGCACTAGGCGACTATCCTTACTTTGAAGATCCATAATAGGACGTAATCGAACAATTCTCTGAATATGATCAATACGAGAGTAACTAATTAATTAGCTCACACAGTAGAGTAAGCGGCAAAGAGAAATATTGTAATAGCTGAACACCTGTTTTATGGGTACACATATTACACATATTCTGAATTACCCGACAACTCACCTTATTCGAACCGATAATTGTCACATTCTGAGAAGTGATGCTCAATGACGGCCCTGAAATGAAGAATAAAAAACCTTATATACTGCAGAAGGCAGCTGGATTGAGAAATAAAACGAAAGAAAAAGTTCATTTCAAGTGAAATAGATTTAATTTTGATTAATGTAATTTCCAAGCGAAAATTAGTGACCTTTTCTTCGTTTTGCGAACTTTACAAACATTGCAAAATTTGTCATCACAACACTCTTTTAATTCCAACAAAAAAGTTAATTCAAGCAAAATGCTCTCAAAAAGTTACACTAATGATCAGATGTAACAAAATGCGTCATTCACTATATCAGCCGCAATTCAGCAAACCAAATGCAGAGGATACGACCACTAGCGATACATTTATCGCAAATTACAGTGGATATTATCTATGAAAGAGTTGATTCATTTATTGATCTTTCATTTCTAAGTCGCACTTGGTCATCTGCTGATCATTTAACTGCTCGAATTGAAAGATAATATTAATATGATAAGCTACTGATTATCAACAGCATAACAGATTAGGAACGACATAAAACGATATAACTGCAAATAAATCAACGCAGAAAACGTCAATGTCAGAAAAACGAGAGAAGTTTTGGAAAAAATTTCAAAATATTTCAAACGCACTAAAATTGTGGCTAAAAACAAAATCTGCATCATACCCCGCATATAGGTGGATGTGATAGTCGCTTTCAATTTGTCCAAATTAGCCGTGTAAACTTTTATCAACTGTTTACAATGCTCTAAAAATGTTATGGTTGACTAATGAGGATTGATCCTTACAAAACATATCTCAATTAGTGCTCTAAAACAAAAGCAAAGACACATCTTCAAAAATAAAAATGAATTCGAAGATTTATGAAGTAGCATTTCTTTCCTTTCGCATGTTACTTGAAGCTAATGCGAAATTTCCTGCTGAACAATATCAAGTATTACTTGCGATAGCAATTAAGCAAAATGAGTTTGCAAAGAAAAACTAAAATAGCTCAACATACAACTGACTGATCAGCAATGAAACTGACCGACGGGAAATCCAAGTTGTTGCATTTCGAGCTCAAGATCATGTGGTGAGCAAGAATTTTTGATAGATTTTTCGAAAATAAACAGGAGCGCTGCCAACATTGCTTTCAACGAAGTGTCACCTTCAAAAATCAGAGGTCACAATGAGAAACTTTTCGAAACTTGATTATTGTGCGGAGACAAATTGTCATTTGGAAATAATTATTTCAGTGCACTTTCAGATTTATTTACATGCGATCACAATAGTAGAATACGTTTGCAATGAAAAACAACAAATCTGGAATGATTCGTAATCACTTCCATCACTGGTCGATCGAGCAATCAACTACATAATGATCGCCAACATCATACCAAGTGATCCGTCTGAATTTAATGAAGAAATCTGCTGTTGAGTCCAATCGATTCGTTTAGCGATCAAATTATTAACACATTGTAAGCACCAATTTTTGAATTTGATCACTGACTGAAATGTGACAGCAAACAAATGGATAAACATAAATGCATAAGTATGAAATGAATATTTACAAAAAACAGACGTCCAGCAAACACTGACCAACTTCGACAAGGCGGCCACCTCGGCTAGAATCCAATCTGGGCAATCTAAGCCGCCGAGAAAGCGGAATTTCTGAATGCAAAACGACTTTTTTTATAACGGAAAAGAGAAGAGAACAATTGACCAAGCAACAATAAATGATATTTCGGAAATCAAGCAAATTGCCATCACCTAATCGAAATTCGAAAGAATCATCTTCTCGTTCATAGCTATTAAGCAAAAATCGGTTAATAATTCATTATGAAACAGATTCCAACTTTTTAAACAAAATATTAAGTGACAGCATCGTGACCGATAGAACCTGTAATAATAAATCATTACCATCGCTCAATACGCCTTGCAGAGAGATGATTTGGACAGCGAAACCGAAATGGCCAAGAAAAAAATCAGCGAGAACTCACTTCCAACTAAAACAAGTTGTGGCTGCAACTGAAATGACCAAAAACCTTGAATGACACTTGCATGTGCAAACAACGAAATAACTCGAAGAACAAACTGATCAAAAGTTCCCTCCATCAACTAATAACCGAAACGAGAGGTAATGCAAAAAAATGACCACTGTAAATAGCGAATGAGCAGTGAAATAGCAAATGACTTGAACATTTACTAACAGTAATAAAATGTCAGAGAGTAGAGTGCATTTAGTGACAAAAGAAATAACTTTATTTGAACCCGATGAATGAATTAATTTCAAAAAAGATATAACATAGTTCTGAGTTAGCAAAACACATCAACACAACATAAATAATGTAAAATGAATGATGAAATGAGGCAAACAAGAGGAATTATACAATAAAATAAAATGAAAGGAATCAACGTTCAACAGCGATTTGATTCGTTCATTCGTTCGAAATCATCGACGCTTTGAGAGATTTTCAAGTACTCCGAACCGAAAATCAAATCACGACAAATTCATTTCTGGCTGAACAATCAGTATCAATTGCACATGATTACACAAGCGTTAGCTGATATACGATCGAAGAAACAAACCCTTTCATAAGGATTGAGATGAGCGATAAAAAATATCGAATACAATATGTATATGCGTGGACAACTGCAATATTAGTTGCATATTGATGTTACTTTAAACAACAATAAATATACGCTATAGCTTTCAAATCACAAAATACGAAGTTAAACAATAGAACTATTTTAAGGACAAATAGAATATTGACTGCTTTGAAGAGCGGAGAAAGAGAACGTGCATTATTTTAACAGGTTGCTTCATAGACGCGCGAAAAATGAGATTCTTTCGCAACAGAATTAATTCATCTTCAAATGGGGATCTACTTTAGAAAGCTTCTAAATAAATAAGTGATACAAACAAAAAAGGAAATAAATGTGAAGAACATACATAATTAGCAACTAAACGTATCTTCTGATGTTTAAGCTGCATTCGGCCACGAAAGTGGCTGGATCACTGGTACTCATCACCTTGTGCTGAATGAACTGGTTGTGCGATAAGACTTGCAGATGGTACCAAACCTTAAATTCGATTTACGCAATCAAATTCAGGGTTATTATGAATTTAAAATTTGCAACGAGTTATCACAAAGACAAAAACTAACCAAGTTCTCTCAGTGGTTTAGCATAATCATCATGTGAGAAAACTTTACGTGGAAATGGCGAGATTAGCTCAATTTCGCCGCGGAATACACCTTGCTTAATGCCTTTCATTTGAGCCCAACAACGTACTGCAGCAAGGGCCTCTTTTGCCTAAACAGCCAACAGTGGCAATAACAAAAGTAACAATAAGAACGACAATATGTTCATTTAAATAAGTAATGATAATACTTTCAAAAACAATATTAAATGAAATTAAATTTCTAATGAATCGACTTGCAAAAAATGAATAAATCAAATTGAAACAAATTTGTAAAACTAAAAATCACTAGAATAATCAAATTGAAAACTGGACTGAATAGAATTGAATTTACAAAATTGAGCCTAATGCGAACCTCGAAAGTTTCTCGAATAAGTGAACCATCAGGAAGACGTATTTGCAAACGAGTATGAGTCGCAGATGTGACAGGATTTAGAGATGATGACTGGCTTTGCGGCTGATCTTTAGGAGGAGTTGTCGCGGAGATCTTAGATGGGTTATCAGCAGCTCGACGGGCCTCACGATCCATTTTGATTTGCTCAAGAATACGACGACGTGCTAGCTCTGTCTAAATCCATACAGAATGAACAATCTTTAAATGTAGAAAACATCAACAGAAACATCGCACGAATTCGTTGTATTTCCCTTCATACATTGATTCATGCTGGTGTTTGTCTCACGTAGAGGAGGGGAGTTCGCCTAGGGAAAAATTGAAGGTGTTGGAGGAGGAGGGGGAGATAGGAGTAGAACAAAGGTCGGAAAATTACGTTTATTTGGTTCTTCCTCATGCTTCGTCTATAACTGTTTAATAGTTTTATCAAAATACACATTTGATCGAAAGAAACTGACTTCGCCGATACGATCGACGAATTTTTAACAGAAAACTCATTAACACTGAACCAATTTCTTTACTTTCCTATGAACTGTCACCAAGATGCGATAGGTTGTCAAGGAAAAAAGAAACTGCAATCGCATGGATCGTCATGGAGGTAAGGGACGTTTGCCTTAAGGTAAAAGGATGAAAAAGAATAAGTGAAAAAATTTCATGTGGACACTGAAGCAAAACAAACACACACACACCACAAACATTTATTTTTGATCCGTAACACACCTCAATCTTCTCACGTTTTTTCTGCTCAGCCCATTTTCTGATTTCAAGTTGCTTGCGTTCCTCTTCGGCATCGGCCATTGACTGTCCTTCACGTCGACGTTTTATTTCCTTCAATTACAGCTTTGAGTCCATATAATAATTTTAAAAATCCATATAATCCACATAATGTGATGATTATTGTTAATAACTTTCATCCTCACATTACTACAGTAACGAATAACTCGAAACAATAACCTATTTTTTAGTATTAGAAATATATGCGAAACAAGTTCATGACAAAAAACATATAAATAAATTACTTTTTCAATTGCTTCTTGTTTTTCCTTTAACTCCTTTTGGACTCTAGCTTCCTTAAGTTTAGCTTGAATTGCCTCAAGACGTTGTTTTTTTTCCTCTTCGGTAAGAGGTTTCACTTGCTCGGTGGACTGCTCGTACTGATCATGTTTTGTTATTTCTGCATGCATACTCATCTTATCCGCATCCGCTAACATTTTGTTACATCTAGAAAATGCTGTCATATTCACGTAAAAACGGAAAATATTTCAACAACAGACTGTAAATGAATTGGCTTTGAATGTGCAAAACAGATTCTTACGAATATGTGTTTATTATAGACCACTATAGGTATACTTCACCTTACGTTGGTAACTGGTTCCAAGAGAGGCGACTTAAGTCGAAAAATGACTCAAGTCGAGTTTACTTGTCACTAGGCTAAACCACAACTAACCATTTCCAGTTCTGCATTTTATTTCTAAATGCATTTTCAATAATATACGGTTAATAAGATCTTATTCAAAGCTTACAAACAAATAAATTCTATTTTCTAACAGAGTACAGAAAAAAACGCAACTTGAGTTTACAATAAATGCACATGTTTACAATTTTTTAACGTTTACAGTACATCACGGACGCTTTATTCGGGAATGCTTTTTGCTCTAAGATATCATATAAAAATGATGTTAAATAAATTTTATTTTTATTTTTCCTTACACTGTTTTGACAAGCGACGTATAATCGAGAACAACTTAAGACTTAAGCGTAGGTATACCCGTATTTTAATAAGCAAATGCATGCAATAAGCATTAATAGTTGAAACATCAAAAAATACTGTTGGCGAACAAAGGAATCACAACTTACATAAGGCATTTGAACGACTGGGGCTCAGTGGATGACGGCGTTGACGTGTCGCCTGTTGCAGTGTCTTGTTGATGTTGATACTGCTGAGATGAAGGTTCAGCCGTCGGTGCCACTTCATCATCGTCCAGTAACTGAACAACCGATGAGCTCTGCAGTTCAGGAGAAGACGACGACTGTTGTTTTGTGACATTGTCATTGTTCTTTACTGTAGCACTTAGTATTGTAACGTCATCATCATCTTCACCATTCTCATTGTCATGCTCCAACAAATAATTCATCGCTTCTTCTAAACCAACCTCGTTCGTTTTACGTAATGCATTCTCACTACAAATAATCCCACATCAAATTTTGGCTGTTTTTTAAATCGTTTGAAATTAATAGTTATAAATGGGTGCTTTTTAGGAATTTGTACTCATATTATATCGAATATGATACTATCAAGATATGAAGAAGAATAATACATCATATTAATGAAAACAATCAATTCGATCGATTGAGATTTGGGATTCGAATATTAAGAGGTTGATCTGTCGATCGCTCTGGGCGATCGGCAAAAGGTTCATCGTTATTACGATTATTCACTAGATTGGTATTCGACTTTGCTTGATCATGCAAAATATTTGTGGCAACGGCATTCATTATTGCTTGCTTGTGGAATTGTTAATAGGCCGATTTCTATGGATACATTCGATTGCATTAATTGTTTATTATTGATTCCGAAAGATTACTGGCTTACTACTGTTGGTTGTTTCAAGCAGCTACTCCGATCGATCACTGCACGCATTTTCAATCGATCAATCGGAGGGCATTTTCGGCTCATTTTGAATCCCTCTCCCTACAAATCATAGAGCAATATGGAGGAGTAGCCCAAAACCTCTATGCTTGCCAAATCAATGATCGAAGTTAGAATTTCAAAAAGACAGATGATTCCAAGGCTATTATCATTAGGTGCGCGGAAATAAGGATGCCAAGAAAGGAAGAATGTGATATTAGTGATGTTGGTGATAACAGAGAGACATAAACTCGTAATGAATTGTAACAAATAAATCCACTTGATCAGACGAACGATGCATACATATATGAATGAATGAGAGACGACAGCAAAATAACAACTTCAAAATCGAATGTCTCTCTGAAACTCGATATTTTCGATGAGGATTCACTATTGCGATGATGAATGTCACAGGTAAAAACAAATAATGAAAAACGCATATGAATCAAAAAATAACATACGCCTTAGCACGATCGAAACCCATTTCAATTAGCTGATCCAGCATCGACATTTTCAATATTCACTGCAAATCAACGCTATTTGAAACAAAAGAAATCAAAACATTTCATTGCTGCACATAAATATGGCCAAAAACATCGACCGTTCGAAACACTTCAAATTCAAAAGGTGAACGATTCATTCACCGATCTATTGGTGCCGCTTCACCATTAAATATGCTAGAAATTCATGTTTTCTTATAAATCCATCTGATGCGTTTCATAACGTTCATGACTAACAAATACCCCTTTCAGAAGTTTCTGCCACTAACATTTTAGTGCTGAAAAGCATGAAAAATAATTGCAATTACCGTAATCAACATGACATTTCTATTACTAATGAATACCCATAAAATCAACTGAAAAAATGGTACGAATTTCATGGTTGAAAAAGTAAACGATCAAATCTGTTTGATGAATAAACCGCAGTTGGTTGAAAAACCCAAAACAAAACAAAAACAGATCTTCCCTGAATATATTTTATTAAATCAAACAAATATTCGCACATAAACACAATAAACAAAAACAAAATACAAAAAAACTACAAATTAATAAGCAATATGAAGCAATCGAAATAATATTCGAATGCACCTGGCTTTTATGAGACACATGTTGAATTTTGATATCACTAAAGTTACATCACTTCAAAACCCTTACCGATGCGCATTCCTTCTCCCGATAGCCTTCCTTTTCGAACATTTTCATTTTTACTATTTTCTATCTCCCGAGCCCTTCCAATTTCATGTCATCATCAGAGAAAGCATGAGAATAACAGAAAAACACCTTCATTTATATCAGGTATTATTATTTCAAGCGTAATCTTTATTGAAAATTTGAATGGAGCAAATGTGAGTGCCTTTAAAAATTCATTATCAAATGCAAATGATCAGTGCTGGGCAATAGCGCGCTATGCGCTATTCCGCTTCTAGCAAAGCTACTTCTTTCTGTAGCATAATAGCGCGCTACTTTTTCCATACAGCGAATATTTGTAGCCATAACTTCTGCCACAATAATTTTTAGCGACACAAAGTAGCGAAAACGTGCGCCATTTTCTTCGGTTAGAGTTTTACTGAGCTACTTATTTGAGAGGTTCGCTAACTCGCTACTTTTCGTCTGCAAAAGAATATTCATTTCTCCCAACACCAAAATATTTGAAATACATTTTGTGGTTTAGCGCTGACAATTGCTCAATTCAAGCTTATCTCACTCGTACTCATCGTAACGGGTGGAAGTTGAATATTCAATCACACCTCGAATACGTGCTATAAGTGCACCACTAGCATTCCGTCTAAGCTCACTAAACTATGTGGATTTGAACAAGTTATGTGCCAGTGCAATGATGTTTTATTCATTTTTGTTTTCGCTACGAACAAATTTGACTGATATTCATTCGCATAATAATAATATGTGCAGTAATGTTTGGTGCAAATGACTGCAATATGGCGAATACACTGGCCCAACTGTTGCTGGGGAGGAGATAAAGGCTGAAAAAAATCGAATGATATACTTTAACGTACAGTGAGAGCGATATCAGGCGGTTGGTTCAGTCATATGATATCTGAATCAAGAAAATGAACTGAATTAAATAAATGAAGTAACTTCTTCTTTCGATTTCTCTACCTTCTCCTATTAAATAGTTAGCGTGATTTTAACATGGATACGAATCTGATTTCATTTAGTGGAATAGATCGAACTTTGTATTAAAATATTTGGAGCAGTTGTGAAGAGACAATATGTAGGGGGAGTAGATTCTAGGCTCTAACGATTTCTATTTACAAACAAAAGTTTTGCAGCGTTTGACAGCGAGTTTGGGGAAATTATTTTGCCGGATTCGCTTACTGCTTCAGGGAAATTCGAAAAATTCTTCCACTGAGAGATCAACCTGACACTGAATGATGTTGCAGTCTGTTCGAAGATCAATATGAGATCTTCACAATTTCAAAGCTTTTAATCCTAGTATTGATAATCTCTTTACTGATATTTGGACACTTTACAGAAATTTTCACATTGTCTCTTGAATATGAAACGTGTAAATCTGTTTCGACCATTTTAAACGACATTTAACGTAGCGTTCACCGTCGTATTGATCAACGTCGTATTGAATCATATTCTAGGATGGGCGAATTTAGATTACGCACTTCACTTAATAGTGATAAGGTGTTGGAGCTAAACATTCTCAATGTGAGCAATGCTCTAATGGTGGCTTTTTTAACTGCACTGGAAAGGTGATGATGAAATTTCAGTGGATGAATGAGTAGGGAATCAATTCTTGATTGTGGATGTTGAGGAGGTTATTAAGATTGCTCTTACCAATTCTACTCAATTTCGTTTGCTCTGGAGATAGCGGTAAAAGCCAATTTGATGACTACTGGTTTATGTAGTTAGTGAATTGTTGGATTAATGTCGTTGTCCAGGAAGACCGCCTTGTAATCATTACGAAAATGATGCATACTGAGCCTGGGAGAAGTCACTCCGCAATGCCTTTAGTAAGGATAGAAAGTGAAGAGAACCTTGAGGAACACCACTGCTGATGTATTCTGACGAACTGAATGGATCACCGACTTTGTCTGATTGAAAATGGTACATCAGAAAGTCTCGGATCTAACTGAACAGACAAGCTCATTTGCCATATGCTTGTAATTTCAAGGATAATTCAGATATGGATGCCGAATCAAACGCTTTTTTAAAGTCGAATTATGTAGTCTCGGTGTAGCCTCGCTTGTTTGAATGAAATACCCATTTTTGTTAGGATTAACATAGAACCGCAGTGACTGATCTCATATCGATAATTCATACTGGAAAGGGAAAAACAGTTCACTGAGTGTAAAATAGTTTCTCAGTTTGGCTACGATTGTTTTTTTTCCAGAACTTCAGAAATTGAGCAGGTTAATAAGATAAGATGGTAGTTTTAAGAATTCATTTCAAAATTTTTTCTAGATATGAGCGTGATGATCGCTGATTTCCATCTAAGGGGTCTAAGCTAGATGATACGACAGCATCCAAACGATCCAGAATTCCACACGAAATTCTCAGCATGTTGATGCTCTTAAAAGGGAATGAGAAAGTGTAATGTGGGCAGCTGCTAACTGATTGCTCTTCATCTTCGAATTTTGTTGTCGTCGTTTGGTTATTTTCTCATTGTATTTCCCATTGACTGGTGCGTATTGTCGCAGTGATTATCTGTTGTTGGATTATTCAGTATAAATTTACAATCGAACAAATAAGCGATGTATCTGCAAATTTTGAGGGAAGATTTGAACGTAGCGATCAGCGATAAACGGACTAATTTTTGTTGAATAGCGCATTTTTTTCAGTTAGCGGCATTTTCAGCGGAAGGTTCCCACTACTCTTTCCTTAGCGGAACTAATAACAGATTATTTTCTGCAGAATATGGATTTTTTAGCGAATTGGCGAAGCTACTTTCTATCAGTAGCGTGCCCATCACTGGATAAGATGAATACGAAGACGTATATGAACGGAACAGCAGCTAAGAAAAGTAGAGAAAAATCATTTTTAATCAATAAATTTTGAGCAAAAACAGAGAACATTACGAAACGCCAATAAAGGCAAACAAATCAAGAAAATTTAATTACCACAGTTGATTGATTACTCAATTATTAGAATTGAAAGTCTAGAACGAAGATTTGAAAAGTGAATGCATAAAATGAGACTCGAAGAAGCAGTTGCTGTAAAAAAAATTGGAACAATAAACAAGGTAAAGCATAACTAAATGAAACAATAGATTTGTGAGCAAAAAAATTCAATGCGATAACACCTAGAGATTTCTTAATATCATAATAACAATTATGATCATCCACTGGTAACAAATAAAACAAATCTTCAAACAAAAAAATTATCATCAGAAAATATGGAATGCAACTGAATGACTTGAAAATCTAGCTGAAAGTTTTAGAACAACAACGATACAGGTTCATTTCATTAAAGATGCGTCTAATATTCAACTAAACCGAAAATTAGTTGCTCCGTTTGCAAAACTGACACCCGCAGAACATCGCTTCATCTGGATCAATCTGCCAATGAATACACAAATGACAAAATTTATCATAAATAATGAGATAGCCTAATCGAAATTTTAAAAAAGATCAGAAGTTAGTTAGCTGCGAAAGTAGACGTAAATTTTGATAAGGTTCGGTGTACTTAGGCATTCGAAGAACTCGTCTAAAAGCAACTAATTATGAATCGGGCAAGTGAAGATCAAATAAGAAAACGGGAGTGACGTGAAGAAGAGGTGCTGAAAGAATAAAAATTAAATTAAAATGCATACAATGATAAGAGGCCACTTGCATTTTCGACAGCGATACAATTCTGATGATGCAGTTTCGTGGCATTCAGCACATACGTGCATTTCCTCTTGTGCTTCATCATGTGCTGAATTTCATCAGATTATATCACCATCATTCATTCGCATTAAATCATGCATCATAAAAAATTTTTAAAAAAATTAATAATGATAATATTACAATAATAACAATAAATAGTAAAAACAATAACCGTTAGCATCCGTTATTGTCGTGCTTCCGGTTGACACTTCTAGGTCGTTTATTTCATCTTGCAACTTTTTCTTCTCTTCCTCCAAAACGAGAGACAAAATACTGACGAGTGTGGTTCATCGTGATGATTTACTCAAGTTCAAAACAAACTCAAAACTAACAAATATAAAAAACTGAAGGGAAACCTCCAATTTTTGTTCAAGATGACTGTCATCGATTTCTTCGGCCTTCATAACACTGAACATCAGCAGCTTCCGATATTTTGTCAACTTTGTAACGTCGTCTTTTACTAAGTTGACACATAAAATTTCGTTATCACTGCCCGTTTCGCTCAGACCCAAATATTTAAATACAATTATTACAATAATATAATGATAAGCATTTGAAAAATTATCAAATTTTGCAGTCTGATTGATTGATCAACTGATGGAATGTTAACTGCACATGTAGAATATCAAAAAATACCACAACCTTGAAACAAAAATAGAATACCTAAAACGTAAGCTTGTTGCGGATCCATCGCATTTTTAGAAAGTTGTGGCGGAGATGAACTTGAGACGTAATCATATCCCGAACCTGCAGTTTCATCGCCTTCCCTAATAACTATTCGCAACGGCTCAGTGCCGAATGAGGATGGTGATGGCAAATCCGCCATGATTAGCTAGCTGTATATGTTGATGAAGTCAAGGCTCTATTCCGTTCGTACACATTCGCAGTTGAACGTGTCTAGTCAGAGCATGCTAAGCACCGATCGCAACAGAACGTCAGTTGGTTACCAAAATGATTTTGTGGGTATTCACAATTAGTTGCGAGTTCACGGCAATTAGGTGTAACAGAAGTGTTGGAGTAAGATGCGAAATAATCTACTAAAGCAATTCCACTTGATCAAAGGACGACAATGAGTTCATTTGGATCAGACCTGAAGATATACTGTGCAGTGTAATTGAATCGGATCTGAAAGTAATTCTAATAAGTATCGAATAGGTTGCTAAACTAATTTTATGGGGCTAAAGAAATGAATATGAGTTCATTTGAAAGGTGACTGATATTAGTATTATGCAGAGTAGTTCTAGGTACGAAATAGTCTGATAAAATAATTCTACAGGTTGACAATCAGTTTCGAGTTCATAAAGCCAAATATGAACTCAATCATAGATTCAAGCGATAGTTATGTAATCAACCAACTGACCAAGTACTGCTCAAGTAAAATTGTTCAAACTCTGGTGAAGATGCTTACAACTTGTCCGATTACAGTAATGCTTTCAAGAATCTGCAAAAGCATGCTAATGATGTATGTAAAGCAGCTAAAGTAGACTGTTTCTTGCGGTGATCATGGGATTTTCTGATTTTTGAGGTCATACCTCATGTGAATGTTACGAAATTCCGACGTCCTCCTCGGCCTTGGTCGCAAAACCCCAAAACAATCACAAATCGCGATTTTGGTTGAGTTACATTGACGCTTTCGCATTGTAGTGTGGTCACACGGCATACTAGTTACAGTATGTTCGGTTTTTCATAGTGACGTTGTTACAACTCGACTGAGTTCTTAGTTATAACTCGCATGATGAACTGCTGCCGTATTAGTGACAGCTTTTTGCATATCTTAATTAATGAAATTACTAATGCACCGTGTTCTGTTGCGGTTCACCAGGGGACATAGCCCCAGGTTTGCCCCGAGGTCCTACAGTTCGGGCGGTTGTTTGCAGGAGTGATCCTACTGATCATGGATATAAGAAATCGTGATATATCGAGTCATGTGCGTTTTATAATACAAGCAAACAATGGTGAACATGCGTATGCATTGTCAAGAGTCGAACCGAAACGAAGTTCTCTGACCAACTATGCGCTTCAAAATGACGTAGTACGGATTCGTTGCGTGCAGATTTGTCGTAGACCCGACAAATGCATCTTGACGAGCCTAACCCCGACAAAAAGCACCATGTTACTCAATGTTGAGGCACGCGTTATCATAAACCTTCGCGATGCAAATTATTCAAATGGCACTTGTCGCGGAGCAAATTGTCGCATACCAGTAAATTTGTTAGAAAGGAGAGTTGGTGTTTGTAGCGTTGCTTAAGCACACTTGCGGGTGAATGGATTAGCCCGCAAACAAAATGATGATACTTGATGCAATCCACAACATCATAGCCTTAGAAATTGATGTGTATTCGACTCTTCGCTTGTTTCGCATGGAAATCTTTGCGATTATGAGAGTTCTTAGCGAATATTTTTGATTTTTTTCAGTTTGATTTGATATGTCTTCTATTTTATTCGGGTTTTATTTAAAGTGAGGAATGCATTTTCTCCATAATAATTTTTAGGAAGATTTGAATGACTAGAATATTCTTAGCTAACCAGCTGGAATTGGTGTAAGAATGGGCCATTACGATTCAATAACAAAAGCAACAATAAAGATTTAAGTTGCACTTTGCGGGCATATCGGTTTGACTTGCTTATTGCCGCCCATCAAACCATAGTGACTAGAGTACACATGTTTTATATGCATAGTACTGGTCACACTTCATGAATGTCGTGATGCTGCATTATTTGCCACATTGTTAAAGCAACAACAATCATGTCTACGTTCAAGTTCTATTTTCCCGTTAAATCATCTCATTTCACCATTTGTATTAATATCATAATTGCCATTACTAATCAATATTACCAACTGCTATCAATTTACCAGTGCAAACTTCATAAAACTAATCATTCGTAACAAACAGTCCCTTCGTGTTCGTTGTTTGGGATTCATTTATACAAGAAAAATTTTTGCTTAACCGCTTAGATCAGGAGAAATACAGAACGTCATTGGATTGGATTTAACTGGAGCTATAATATGTCGTGAACAACGCTTCAACCATTCAGTTTGTTTGAAGGTGTCGATCTGCATGCATCAGTTCATTTGATGCATCAAACCCAGAATATCTCAACTCGAATCACTTAATCAAGTAAACCTTTTCTCCTAACCATATTCATTTTCCGTTCCTTTAGTTCCTCAGTTGTAGATTCATCTATGGGTGGTAACACATATTCTTGAATTAATGAAAACTGTTTTCGAACGCATCATGATGCATCATTACAACATGTGGTAACATAGTGCAGTGGTTCCAATAGAAGAGAGATATTCTCTCCTGAGGAGGAATTTTAGGATGTCAGGGGGGGGTGGGGTTAGAAAGGTTAGCCAACCAATGTCGATTGATTTCTTAAAAAATTTCTTTCATGATTATATATAAAAACCACTTGTTTGGTTACAATGAATTGAATCCTTTGACACCACCAACGAAATCTTGGCATGAAATTTTGGATAACTGAATGCATTTGGTTATTTCCAGTATACTGCTAGAAGTAAGGTTTTTGAATGGTGGTCACATGGCAATTATTGCTAGAAGTGCAAGAGACGGTGTGCCATACGTCTGTGGACAACCACTGATACAGTTCATAAACCGACACATTCCATTCCAATGATTGATATTTGACCATTGAAGAACTGACGGTTCAGGAATCTTATATCTGTTTTAGTACTAAATAATCAATTGTAAGTAAACTGCAATGGTTATGGCTGAAGAACACGATGAGCATACGTTTTTGTGTGGCTATCAACGTGCTCGAGGGTACGGAAGTACCGCAAGACCACAGAATTCAACGCATCGTTACAAGTCTATTATACGCCATCAAGTTGAACCCAGCGACACTCTTCAAGGGCTTGTGCTCAGGTATAACACTTCGGTAAGTTTGAGCTAATAGAATTATTCAGGCTAATATCAGTCGTGAACAATACCATATTCATATTATTATTAATTTTGTTTACTAGAAATATTGCATTCAGCTGTTTTTATCTACCTTCCGCTAGATATTATCAATTTTATGTTTAACGACCACTCATAAAACAGAAAGTAAAGATCACATCTGCAAAAATGTAAGTTTACAAAACAAAATGTCTCACAGTTGGTCATATCATTTGGAATGAATTTCATGGAAATGAAACCACTGTCCAGTCAGCTTTGGTTTTTTAAAGAACACCTGTGTTTACAATCATTCCGCCGTCAGAGTTTAGTATTCGAAAGTCTATCACGTGTACCGATTTCTTGTGTTCATTGCACTAACGATTTTGAATTTTCTGTGCTCTGCAACTGCTCCGTTAAGATCTTATTATTGCAGATGACTGAAATAAAACGTTTGAATCGGTTATGGTCGAATGAAAGTTTGTATTTAATGGAATACGTAAATATTCCAATTTATGAAGCTGAACCAATCGCCAGTGATAGTGTCAACATTAATAGTTGTGTAGAAATGGACAGTTCACAAAAAAAAATTCGATCACAGTCATCATCATCATCATCGGCATTATTTTTTGGTGCAAAAAGTCTTGATGATCGACAGCAACAACATAACCAGGGCACTATGAATGAGGAGATCACTGAAAGTGTTCAAGAGCTTTTCAAACGAATCGATTCTAATATTGATAAAACAAAAAGATTGGGAAAATACTCAAGGTCAGCCGCCCGTTTCATTTCATTCTCATTCTCGACTTCTTTTGCGTTGAAACAATAGTTACACTGTTTATCACGGTGTACTCCTCAATTTCTTAAACTCAATCACACCAAAAAAAACGAAACGAATATGTCAAATAATACGCTTACACGAGTCGCATTTGTTCAAATTAAAATATTTACGTAGCGACACGTTCATCAAAACAATCAGAATTTGCAGTGCCGACTGGTGTGACGTGGCCGTTAACGAACTCTCAACTACAACAAGCAGGAACGTTCCACATAAGAAACAGCAGCCATCGAAGAGCGCTCATCGCGAGAGACGACGAAATCAAAAGACTACTACTACTACTACTACTACTACTACTACTACTCCTCCTTACCGCGACCATTCACTTAAACCAACAATAACACCTCCAAGCGACTGTACAACTGATCAGTTTTGTCCGAACTCTTAGCACAGTCCCTATTGCAGTGTATAGTATGTGATGTAAAACACTCTTTGTTCATGTGACAAAGCTAGAAAATGATTGAAAATCACAGATGCAATAAGCTGAATCCTGATTAATTAAAATGTATATCAGATCATGTGCACCACAACGTATCTATGAAAATGTGTGAAACGGCGCATTCGAACACAATACCCATCCACAATTTATCTTAACTGTATTTTCTCAACAAATCACTGTGTCACGAACAACTAATGACACATATCAACAAAAATAACAAATAATATCTTATTTCTTCACTGCGCCCTTTTTAACCGTCTTCCGCACTGCCAGTGCCTTCTTTGCGTTCTCCTAAAACAATGCAAAATGTTACATATTTCAATCAACTTCCGCCGAACTTGAGAATAACCTTTCAAATCAAATCAACAAAGATTTTTAATCAACGAAGCAATTAATCACTCTTCTCAAAGTAATAAGGCGCTATCACGATAACTGATGAATCAATTCAAACGGGGTATGGATAGCGTTGACAAGCAGTAGATACGCAAGTAAAATGAATTTAAAAACATAAAATCACCTGAATCTTTTCCTCCAATGGATTATTCAAATTCTGATGCTTGCGTTGTGCCAGTATCGCAGCTCGTTTTATGACAGCAGCATACGGATTCAGTTTCACCAAGACCGCAGATCGTTTCAGTGGATTTCTGTGTACACGTACTGTTTTCATTGTCTTCTTTGGTGGTCGTACTGCCTTCACAATCTCTTCCGAACGAATAATTCTTGAGAAGTCAGCGTTGCACATCTTCGCTCTGGGCATCGTGAAGTTTGCCTTAGCCACTGATTTTCTGACCTCAGTACCATAGATTAGGTCAAGCTTACGAAACGCTGACTCGGTCCAAATGATCAAACGACCAACATGACCACCAGGCGCAACCTTCAGCAGATTCAAACGATCTACACACAGCAAATCAACCCCTGGGATATTTCTGAAAGCTTTCACGACACCATTATCTTGATTGTAGATCACCAATGGACCGAGCTTCGACTTGTAACGACGATTACGCCCTTTTCCTTTACCGGCACGATAACGTTTCGAATTATAAACCTACAAACAGATGAACAGTAATAGAAACGAATCGTTCACCTTCTCATAAATAATCAGATCTGACATGAATCAAATTACATCAACTCTCAGAGGTAAATGAAACGGATATCGCACAACAATGGTAACTTTTAAGTGCTGCTTCACATTTCAAATGATAATGGCACCAACCACAAACCTTTTCAATATCGGCCCACACATGTGATCGACGCAAAAAAATAAAAGCTTCCTTAGTCTTTTTGAATGCCTCAATCTTATCATTGACAACGAATGGTACTTCAGGGATCTCATCGATGATATGTCCTCGTGCTTGCACTAAACCTGGCACTCCAGATGCCGCTAACGCAGACACTATTGCATAACGCTTTTGTGCAACATTAACACGGCGATGCCAACGACGATAAACCTCAAACATGATACTACATTGAATCATTCCAGTGAAAGACTTGATTACGTCCTTTCAGATAACACCTCGTACTTAAATTTACGTCTGGACGACCTTTCTGCTGATACTATGAAGATAGTTTCTCGATTACGGATTATTACTGTACTTAACGCCATTAGTCAATGATCACTAATGACAAAGTGAATCCATACGGAAAGAAATTACGACTATGAAAACTCTTACTACAAACCAACGTTTACGACTATGAAAATGAACAACTGAAGGAAGAACGTTCTTTTGAAGTGAATGAATGGAAAACCTTGGTTGGTGCGAACATACGACCTCCACGACACATATTTCCGAATGCACCCTGGCCAGAACGATGCGTACCACCACCGCGAACACGTGGGATTCGAGCAACTGCACGACCCGTTCCCCATGATTCAGCCGATGTTTGGTGGCCTCAAAAATAAATGATTTGATACATCTAACTACACTGGAATTTGGAGAAAGAATAGCACAAGACTAAGAATACACAACAGTGCTTAATGCATTCATATATCTTACCGGCCTCAGTTGAAACGGCATACGGTTGTCGTTTGTTTTTGCGAATTTGATCGTGTATGAAATTAACAATGTCAGGGCGGATTGGGGCCCTGAATACGCCTGGTAGTTTCACTTGTGACTCGGTTGTCTCACCTTTTTCATTATAGATGGTAACCAACGGACGTGCCGTCATGACGAATCTTAACTACCTAAATCATCCACTTGAACTGCAACAATCAACAAATGCTGGCGAATGAGCATTCAAAAGCAATGATTCCTTCGACAAGATCACAAAGGGGTGAATAATGCATGCATATAGTTAAAAATAGCAAACGAAAAACAATTATGAGGAACAATTCAGGATTGGTTACCTTCCGAAATCCTATTCTAATTGAAATTTAGTCGGTAATCGTTAAACAAATGGCGGTTTCGAAAATGACCAAATTCAAAATTTGCATTCCATTTGTCTTATTTCAAGGGGAGGAATACTTTTGTTTGCGAAGAAAGAGAAGTACAAAACAATGATTGTATCTGCCAATAGCAGGATAGTGTATGGCTATTCGAACACATAAATGTTTTGAAAACAATGATCATTCAAATTGTGGCTTCACCAGAGATCATTTTAAGATTTGTAGGGAATTATGAAATTGTAGCAGGAAATATCCGTACAACTATAACATCAGGTAAGGAAGAAAATAGCACAGCAATCGAAGAAAGTAATATGGAGCACGATAGAATGCTTGCATATGCCAGGTGGCAATAAGCGAGTCCCAGTATCTGACTGCTATGAGGAATACCCCGAGCCAAGTAAAAATAGAAAAAAACATTTACATTACATCTGTCTTTAACTCAGCATTTCAACTGTTGAACGGCCATAAGGAAGAGGTTCGAAAGAAACACCGTACACTGCTAACCATTCCAAGTATAATCTTTCGTTCATTCGAAAATTGGCAGCATGCCGAAATTTCCTCTACGCAATCTAATTGAAGCGGCGCTTAGAATTGCGAGCTTTTTGCTGGATCGGGAACTCTGCCGGGGTACCTCGACAAATGAATTTTGAGCATCGGTCGGTTTTGGATTGGTGGAAATCAAGGGTTCGGTTGCAGGCGGTGGCGCAGAAGTTTGTTCTTCGATTGCCAATGACCGAATAAGCCCTTGCGGTCGTGGGCCCCGACCCAACTCTATATCAAATTGAAATATCATTGCAATCTGGCAAATACCCACAAGTAAGATAAAACTTCAAGGTCAGAAAGTATGGTCTGCGGAGGTTTATTTAATAACGGTTTGAAAAAACATAGATTTAAGAATACTCAAACACTCTGCACCGGAAGTATTTTACAATTTCTGTTTCAACTAAATTCACCCAAAACATTTGCAACGCCATTTTGTTCCCAAGCGAAACAACTCCCATAAATGATATTGAAGAAACAATAGAATTGCTTCTTTTTTTTAGCTGAAGCAAGTAATCACCAGTTTCAAAAACCGTTTCCCGAAAGTTGTAGAATTTATTATCCCAAAATGTAAACTATTTCATTACAAAAGTAAGGAAACAGTATACTCAACCAATATGACGGCCAAATTACTTTTTAAAAAATCAATTCTTTCTAGCATGAACATTTTATCATGTTATTAAAGCAGCTGATCAAATCCAACAAAGAAATTCAAAGAATAGGAGAATAAGAAATAGCCAACTACCGTTCAGTAGCAAAAACAGCATACAATAATAAAACAAGAAGAATGCACATCAAAACTAAGTATTTGCAATAATAATAATTTATTATGTCACATCAAACTCGACGGATATGAAACGAATAATGAATAATCAAATGAGTTTTGGGACAGCAACACCATTTCAGCCATGATAATAAGTGCAATGCACTATGCATTTATCATTTTCGTTTTCATAACAGAACCGGTACTCTTCTATGAATATTAATAACTATTCCGCCACCACGTAACGCCAAAACCAAATGCAGAACTGAACCACCAACTACCTGAAGAAAGATCACCTCTTCTCAAAAATGTTTAAGGAATTCGTTTGATTCAAGAATTTCTCAGTGAACAAATGACTGCACAAACGATGCAAATACACCACCTTATAATCTTGTGCAGTCTTTTCATCATTCATTTGTTTGCCAGCAAAGATGAGTCTCTGTTGTGGTGGTGGAATACCCTCTTTTTCTTCAACCTGAAACCAATTTTGAACCGAGACATAATAATTTCTTTGATACGAAGTGCTCACCCTTCTGCTTCAAGCATTAGAAACAAAGTGACCCCGTCATCAATACCAACAACAAATCAAGGAACCTTTTCTTTAATTCGTTCCACTTTGTCATTCGGCTCAATATCCAATTCGATTTCTTTACCCGTTAACGTCTTCACTTTTATCAACATATTTATCTGCTGACCACCTAATACGAAACAAAACATGAATATTACGCAAGAAAACACAACTCCTCAATCTATTGCTATTTATATATATTTCATTTGAAATCACACTTCACAAATGATCCGAATTTGTTGCGCTGCAATGATGAAGAAGTATCTGGCGAATAAACTCAATAGCATTATGATTAACTTTTCACACAGATTAACTCGAAAGTTTGCTAATCGATATATTCATACGTGCAGCAATTATCAGCAACGCATTCAATTACATGATAATGCAAAACGTGAACGTATATAAAAATGTTTAATTGGTTTCAGCAAATTACGAGCAAAAAAAGATTGTCTGATAAAGCGATTGCGAATAATGCTCTCGGAATTACACGAACATCAAATAAGTAAAGAATGTGAATAGATTTTGAAGATCCGTCACAGTATAGAGATACAGAAATACTTCCACGATCAAATGATGAAAATTAAATCAACAGACAAACGTGTTGTGAAGAATTCACTTGAGGAAAAAACAGAAGAGAACCCGACTTGATATAAACACGTGGAAGCAATAAGAATAAAATGAATGATACATGAAAATAATATGAATATCAAAATAAATCACCAATACAAATGAGGAATGATGATTAGAGATTCAATCGAATGAAATTACTGAATCAGATTCTTAAGAAACATGATTGCCTCTATTCATATGATGCATACAAACATTTTCAAAAAAACAAACAAATTCTGGGAACGTAAAGACAGATACAGAAGTAATGGAATTTGTATCAAACAAGCAACAGCGCTATTAAAATTCAATTTGCTGCACAAAGAAGAAGAAACAATTTCAGTAATTAAATTTTGGACAAGTGCAAAAAACCGTTTGTGATATTCTTCTTCAGGATCATAAAACCGGTAAGAATAATGAACAAAAATGGTATTACTATTAACAACAATGGCAATAATAATGACACCAGTAATAATGGTAACAACAGTAATGAATTTAATAACAACGAGATTTCATCAAGATGACACGCACAAAAATCAGGGATAGACTATAACCGATTCACACATCACAATACACAATAATCACTCACGAATAACCGAAATTTCAAAATAATAAATAACAACGATTAATAGCAAGTCTTTCAAGAGAAGAACTTAAACCATTTTAAAGACTCATTTTAACAGCTCACATATTATAATTGATAAAACGAAACGAAATCCCTATAAGAAATGAATAAGCCGCGTAAGTAAAAATCGAACTAAATGAAATTACAGGATATTTTCATTATTCAGAAGATGAATCAATGAGAATTAGTAAGAGTCGATAAGAAAAGAAAGGAAATGGATTTTAGATACGTAATTATGCTGTGTAAAGTAATCAAACGATCCCTTTTGAAAAATATTTCACATTTCGTTCTCTCCAAAGAAACTTAATGTTTTAATAAGTCTCATTGCCATTCTCAAACTGGAAGAGATCCGCTGAAGAAGACAGCTGCAAAAAAACATTCGAGAATGAAACGAACTTGACCAATCAATTGTAGTAATACATTAAACAGCCAATCACAGCACACAATTAATAACTAACAAATCGACGATATGGAAGTGAATAGTACTATAAAAGAACTTTTGAGACCAATGATGCAGACTATACTCCTTCTTAGAACCATTCAGTAAACTGAACGAACGAAATAATGCAGAGCAATAAGAATAATGAACATCGAATAAATATTTACGAAATTCAAGAGCTTTTTCGTTCGCACTTCCTTCAACCGTCGATTGCAATAACAATGAAACGAAAAGAAATGATTTTTGCGTGCATCTAATTCGATCGGATACGTGACAAGATAATATGAAGCAGGTTATGTGTTAAGAAAGTTAACAGATTAAATGACTAATTAATCAACTCTCATAGATATCAACTGCTGCATTGGACAACTGAACAATAAATCGATCAAGCCATGTTACTGAATTTGGCGCTACGCTTGCGCCTTCTAAAAATCCCAGATGACCACCATGCTTAGTCAGGACGAATCCAAATTGAGGATTTCCCTGCACTAATTCTTTCACTGGCTCCCATAGTTGTTTTGGTATTAATGGATCATCCAATGCATTTACGAATACCTGTAATTATTATCATCATACAAAATAATCTTTCACTTGGTGAACAAAATAAAAAAGATATTTTGAATCAAATACCTTTTGTCAATTTATTTTTTAATGTATTCAGTCTCCAAAAAAATTTTTTGAATGAAAATTTTCGAGTGGGTGAACGAATACACAAAAATGATTCTAAAAGAAGTAGATAATATACCATTGGCACGGTGATTTTGTGCAGAAGTGGGAGACAACTGCACTCTTCATAGAAACTTGCGAGTGATGAATAACCGAATACACGACGACTGTACGATTCATCAAACGCTAATATCGACGTTGCACACCAAAGACGCTCAAATGCAACATTTCAGTGTAACAAGCCCAAACGCAAATTTCTAGCATTCAGTTTAATCGCACAAACTCTTCAGATTTCGAGAAAGTGCCCGCATGGATAGTGTGCACGCGAGACTTGAGCAATCCCCCAAACTTTTTCAATCGAAATGAAATCGCGCATGAATACTTCCCTATGACAACCTCACTGAACGAAACAGTGCAACGTTGCACACCACTGATATTTTTTTCGGCACATTTGTGGACCACCTTAACATTTAAATGCAAATAGCCCACCTTAACACTAAGTTGATGTCATTGTGCTATCATCAATTGCTCAACCTCTTAATGATAAACCATCCAATTAATTCACCAAAAAATTCGTTTCTCATGGCTACTCATCTTTATCTGAAACGAAAGGAACCTGTTCATCAATAAGACGTGCTTTGCTGAACGGTGCTACAGCCATATCATAATTTCGCCGCAGTAGTCTTTTCATGTTCTCTGTTATCACATAATTATATGCACGACGTCCATTTTCCCAGTCGAGATTTATTGATGCTGATCTAAATAGCATGATCAGAAATTGATCTTATAATGCTAATACTTTTAATCAATTTCAACTCTGAACTTTCTGTCATGAAAAAACACCACAGGAAAGTTTTTTACGAGTAAATACACCAACTTATAATCATAATTATTAGTTGTCAGATGAGCAACAAAAAAGAGAAATATGATCCATTTTAAAGCAACACTAAGCTGAACTGAGATGTGAATGATTTGTGATCTGTGATGTGAATTCATATGAATAATAGTATGGTGAATGAAAATAAAAATATGATTACGAAATATAAACTCACGTTTTAGCGCAATATCCTTGACACACTGATAAACCAATAACAATTTTATCAAGCAGATTTTGATCAGCATAATGCAAGAAACGTGATGTTATATTTGCGCCCATACTAAAACCAACTGATATAAAACGTGTATTTGGATATAATTCACTAATATGTAACATCATTGCATTCAGTTCCTCGATACCACCTAAAATGATACAGTATATATGATGAATCTGTGCTGACACTTTCATCAATCCACCAATTCGAGGGAATATAAATGAACAATCACTACAAGTATGCAGTGAAAGAGATGATGAAAAAGATCACCTACCATAAGAAAAAATTCGAGATGAAGTGAGATTAATATCTGACAGAGCACCAAGGTGATTCAATACGACGCATCTGTAACCATTTTGTTGCGCATAATGAACACATGTACGAATGTAGTTGGATTCACTCGAATTTGCTATACCAGGACACAGTGCTAACGTATAGTCTTCTAAAAAGCTTGACATTAATAAAAGTGATATGTACATTTATTTGAAACTGCTCCTGTCCTAAGACAAACACTATCACATTCAAGCCATAATCCGATTCGACTGATGGTAAAACGTGCATGGTGCCCAATCTTTGTTGCATTATTATCACAATTTTAAAGTACTGATGCTGAAATGAGCTAATCAAGTGGATTGTTGTATGCGAACATATTTGCATCGTGGTAAAATATTTGAACAGTTCGAAGATAACAATGAAAATTTTTTCAAGAACACATTTAATGAACGAACTTCCAGTTGAATGTGATACTACTGGTTCAAATATATCAACAATAACCGATGAGCCATCTGGTAGTTTAATGATACGTCTTGAATCAAACGTTCTTCCCAGTGACGCATGCCCAATTAGGCCATAGGCAGCCGTTTGAAAGTGACCATTACGACCCCAAAGCAGAGGAGGATTATATCTAGATTACTGATACTTATCCATAAATGTATATCAACATACACGTATATAAGTGAATGAATACTTTCGTTTGCGATCGAAACTCACATTTCATTCAGAATGGAGCACTTTGCAAGTACTTCGCCAACAGCCTGGTGTTTTTCTGATGATTTGTCCACATATATTACCTCAGGTTTTTCGGGAAAGCTGAACACCTTGAGAATACGAAGTACTGCAATGAATACAAAAACCATTATAAGCCATGACGGATTTGGCCACATTTCCGACAAATTGACAGGGCTGGATAACATGCTGCTAAAACTTGCCACGTCCATTTCTGCGTTCTTTGAAACCAGCTCCAACTCTCCTTAAATGCACGCCTTATAAAAATTATATGTAACTGAACTTATGATTATGCTGAAAAGAGACGTGCGGCTGCGTCTACACTGTACTAAACCGCTGTTCTAACAGTAAACTCAGGAAAATCTCCTCTAATTGCACGGATGAGAATTCTGGTACTTTTGCTGATAACGAGCGCCATAAGCTTCGCACATAAGTCGAAGCCGATGCGTTAGCCTCATCATTGAGCTAAGCATAAGTCTAAGCTTAAGCATACTTCTAAATTGACTTGGAATTGTATAGACAGACATAGGGTAAAGCGGTAACCTAAGCACATGCGCGCAGTGTCGCCCGTTATCAGCAAAAGTGCTCCTCACAGCGATGTTTTGAAAGTCTTTAAACTGGTTCAAAGTGTGTTAATCAGCATTTAACTGGAGCAGCTTAAATAACAGAAGATGCGGAACAATATTTAGTTTGAAGAATACAATTACAACCTATCCATAATTATCGCTAAATAATTTTAAAAAATTGCGATTAAAATACAAACGAACTACTCGCGCACGACATGGCTCATTGCCAAAAACGGGCCGGCGCAGCGATTTGCTGAATGAAAAATCTGAAAAGTGAGGGGTGGGCAAAATATTTCTACGATACGTTCCCATTATCGGTTTTGCGCTCAAACTCGGTCAGCACTCAATCATTTTGGATTTTAACTTCAGGTTAAGTTCGGGACCCATTAATCAATATTTCTAAAAGTTACAATGTCGATTTGATGGATTTTGGCAGAGTTATAGGCAAAAAACTGTCACAATTTTGCACCCAATTTGAAAGTGCGCTCAAACGTTCTCACAACGAAGGGAAACCCGCGAAATTAAATGTTAGCGTTCAACTTATTTTTTGCAAATCCCTATATCAGCATCGTTGAAGTCATGATATCCGGGATATTTGTGGTTGTTGAGATTGACGTTTGCAGTCGATGCCCACAGACAGCGAATTAATTCTGGCCTTTATGGCTCATATCTGGCATTAAATCCAAATCTCTTCACCCGTGAGAGGTATAAGGATTCCGCCTTCCAGCTTCGCGGATTTTCAGGCGATAAACCATTGATATATTTTTTAATTAAGTAGTGTTAACTATGACGAGTGGATAAGTTATACTTGTATTTTTCACGCTAATTGTTGTTCGGTTGTCAGGAATTACTTTCATTGTTAATCATGTTTGAACTCTCGGTTTGATGTCTGTTCAATGAATATTTTCTATGAATCGCGATATAATACAAAAAATGGTTATTATGTAATTGGCTATATTAGAAGGTAATGTTCAATAGTAATTGTGTGTACGTATATTATGAAAGATTTTTAATAAATAAAACTGAACAGTAAGAACTTGTGTTGTGTTCACACGGAAAGTTTCAAAGGTACAAAATATTTTGCCTTTGAGAGGGAGATCGCTTCTTCTTTTGTTTGACTATTCGCTCGTTAACCACTGACCAATTAACAGCGGCTAAAATGGGCACTTATGCTGTTTAGTCCCTCCACCCGCACGCACACAAACGTGCATTACCATTTGTGCTTTCAACTACACCGCCGCACGTTGTCATGCACGCTTTGGGCCACGCCCGTTGTGTTACGCATTACACAACAATTCGGTAGGCGTGTCTGCGCGTGCGCCCGCCCACGCGCGCTTGCCCATGCGTGCAGATGGACGGACTAAACAGCATGAGTACCCTAAAATGCGAGTAGTCGAAGACTCGAAGAAGACCTGAAACTAATAAAAGGTCGATTCCTGAAATCAATTTCAACCTCCCGGACGGCACAAAAATTCCGTAAACCCGATTCTGCAAATCATATTAAAGTGTGAAGCACGATGTCAACATTCAAAGTTCGACATCACATTAATTCGTTCCGAGAGCCGACCGATGTTCAAAAAAAATCGCTCGTTTGAATAATGGCAAAAATTTTGTGGATTCGAAAAGTTTTTGGAAAGATGCAACCGAAAAATGCCAAAAATCATTGACGCTTTGCGGAGTTGAACCTGCGACCCTCAGTGGGATGGAACAATAGTGTGAAACAATTGCACCATTGAGAATGACTGTTCTTCTGGAAGCATTTTTTTTTTCATCTCACGTCTCTCGAAATGCCACAAATTTTTATTTTTTGTAGTCCACTCATCAAACCGAATCGATTGGTACCGAAATTATTGATCTGTAATCTACATTTTGCAATGCCAATATCAAGAAATCACGTTTCGAACCCTGATTACCATAACTTTTATCGTGTCGCTTTTCTAATTGACGGAACAGAAGAGAACAGTTAAAAGAATATAGCACAATTTAAGAAGGCAAATTAGAATAGAATAGAACAGTCCGCAAATATAGAAGGAACAGTTTGGAACAGAACAGAGTCGCTTTTAAGCCCCAAAAAACAGAATAGAATAGTTTTCAAAAACGTGGTATAGAGACATCACTAGTCATGAACAACACACCGTCTAGGACACGCTGTCTATCAAAACACATAAATGAAAGCCGGCAATGATAAATAGATTAAGGACAGTCATTATCGAATCGTTATGGTAAGCATAAATCATCGCTTGACGCTTTTTGACGTGATGCATTCAGAAGCCTATTGCGAAATTCTATTGTATTGACAGCACATCGGTATAAAAAGTTTTGATCTCTGATCGGCCATTTGACATTGTATCATTGAAATAGTTTCATCAAAAGGAAGTTCGGATTTGGAATTTTTTTGAGACATTCAACATATTTAATTTCAGTACATTCGAATCGCTCTAATGAGAAAATCGCTTTCTAGCAATGAGATACTTGAAAAAAAAAACTGTAAAAAACTGCAGAATGAATGATATAAAGTATCCCTGCATGCATACATCGAAACGATTGGCAAAACCCGAATAGAAAACCGCAGAACGAGATTTCTAAGATGTGAATAACAAGTATGAGAACACCATATGGGGACAAATATGCTCTAATGCACTGTTTGGATGCTTGATTAGGGCTGTGTTGAAACTGCTTCAATACTATGCAAGTCGTCATTATCACTGTCTAATTAAAATTTGTATCACAGCACATCAAACAAAACTAACATAAAGATATCAATCTCTTCTGTCATTTTCCTTCCAAAGTAGACCACATTCGATGTGATTTTACCACGCTCACAAATGCACTTACATAAATACTCCATATCGTTAATGACATCCATCGTCACATCCTCTTCGGCTTCACCTTCAAACAAACGACCGCATCTCATCATTTGATTTGAACAAGCAAACCTGAGAAGATCCACTGTTTGAAAAAACTGATCCTCAAACTGACATGCTAATGAATGATCAATATAGATACAGTGTATTGAGATGAGCGATTCCAAGCAACTGAGATAACATCAGAAAATAGGCTATTCCTCAGAAATTGAGCAGAATTGTCCTACAAAATATGTACACTTCTGAAAGCAGAGATTCTGAGGATTTTGACGGTGTGCAGAAACTAATGGGTTACTGGGCAAACCTAAGAGTACCGTTACCTTGAAGATGGTCACCCGATAACGATATAACAATACATGCATTGATCTACAGTGATACAATGTACATGAATGAGCGCCAATGAGCTAGATGAGATCGCTTTAGGAAAACAGCTATATGTCCTCAAGAAAGCAGAATTGCTCACCAAAATGAATGATATTTGGAACCTAGAGCTTCTGAGGAATCAAATGGTGTAACGAAATTGATATGTTACTGGGCAAACTTGAGAATACGGTAGGCTTGAATATGGTAGCCACTATTGCTTTGAGAATATAGCTACATCTCTTCACGTAAGCAGAACTGCTCAGCAAAGTAATGATATTCTTAATCTAAAAGTTCTAAGGAATCGAATGGTTTAGAGAAATTCGTATTATGATAATGTCGAAATATAAGTTAGGAAGTTAGGAATTAGAATGTGTGAATTGTAAGTTGTAATTGAAGGGAGTTGGAGCAAATACTGAATGGATGAAGTTCATGTTGATAAGATATGGCTCTTTTCATAAAGCTCAATGAGCAACAAGCGCCAAGTCGCTCGTTCATATACATGCTATCACTATAGATCAACATCAACACGTTATTACGGCTATATAGAGGTTACCACATTCAAGGTAACCGTACTCTCATGTTTGCCCGTTATCATGTGAATTTCTTTGCACCATTCAACTGTTCAGAATCTCTACATTCAGAATATATTGTATTTTGCCGAGCAATAATGATTAGTTGGGAAGATATAGCTATTTTCTCAACGCTATAGCGGTTGCCAACTTTGAGCCTACCGTACTCTCAGCTTTGACCAGTAACATATAAATTCCTGTTCACCAATCCATCCAGCAGAACCTCTTCATTCAGAAAAATATATATGTTGCTGAGCAATTCCGTTTTCTTGAGGAGATATGGCTATTTCCATAAAGCTATATCAGCAACAAGCGCAAAATCGCTCATTCATGTACATTCTATCACTACAGATTAATATCAATACGTTACTATAGCTCTATAGAGGTCACCGTCTTCAAATTAACCGTGACCTAATGTTTGCCCAGTATCATGGCGATTTCTTCAGATCATCAGATTCTCTACTTTCAGAAATGTATGTATGTTGTCGGGTGATTTTGCTTACTTGGGGAGATGTAGCTGATTTTCTGAATCTCAAGTAGCTGGTCGGCGCTCGTATCAATGCAATGTATCACTATTGATCAATATCTGCATTTTAAACATATCATATCTCAGCTCGGGATTAGCATTTCGAGATAATGCTGTTATTGTTAATACTTATTGTAATGCTTATTAATAATAATCTTTTCATTATTTTCGAATTGCATTTGTTTTGTTGTTCTTACTTTTCGTTCATATTCACATGGTACTGTGAGCATTCCTACACAGTGGCCACTGTTCTGTTTTGTTGGACTTGACTGAATTTTTAAAAAATTGTTGATGAGCGGCACTGTATTTGTTTACAATAATGTTTCACTTGAAGTTTTGCGGCTTTTGGACGTAACACATTAAAGACCGCTCACAGTCGGTTGTTGAACTTGGTGACTGACAGTATTCGTCACATTATTCATAAGAACGAACGTATTCCGGGAAGCTGAAGTTCGGGATCCTTAGACTTCTGACTGATGAAGAGGTTTGGATTTAATACCAGTTATGGCTGTATTGGCTCAAATTAACCCGTTGTCTGCAGGCACCTACTGCGTCGAACAAAACGGCCGGATCTAGTAAACGTTTTGGGACACCGCAGAGGGGCGCTTCAACTTTCTCGACGATAGATTTGAAAGTGCA